TTGTTAATATGAATAAAAAGAAAAAAAAAAGAGATGAAAGATACTTTATCAAAACACAGGAGAGTAGAAAATAGAATTAGTTGATTTATTTTCAGAAAAAAAAACAAATTATAATAAAATTATGAATTTTAGGAAGGAAAAATAATTATATAGAAAATGAATGATGGTGCGTTTCTTTATCAGACGATTCGACGATATCGGTATAATGTTTTCGTTAGAAGCAAGAAACTTATATAATGAATTTAAAAATTCATTAAATATTTAACCGATTGATAAACAGAAGTGTCCTGCATGAGTACAATTTTTCTCACTGGATTCGAATAGCTGTACCAGAATGAAGCTAATCGACATTCCCATAGACAGAAACAAAAAAAAAAGCAAGTGATTCATGATTTTTGCTTCGAAAAATCCGATCAATTTCGCTAAGTATACGTTTGGTTGTTGCTGATGACACTAGAATGAAATGCAGTGTTGGTGGCAAACGTCATATTTGTGAATACATACATCAATGTTTTTTCTATCACGATAATACATGTTTATCTTTTTGATAATTCATTTTCCTCTTCATGTATTCAATTACTTCGTCATGTGGTTCATCATCATCTATAGATGAGTTTTCATTAAAAAATGAATTTACTTAGTAAAACAATATGGCTTTCTACTTCTGTGGTCTGTTCTCAAGTACAATAAATTACTCAATCATGATCGAACAGGTTTTCATTCTTACGGTTTTATATAAATTAGTAATTTGAACAAATAAAAATATTTTGAAACATCAAGATCTCATATATTGCTGGATTGAGTGCTGAATATGATCTCAAATCTGGATCCAACCCGGTACTCAATCTGATGTACTAAAAGAAAAACGAAACCACATTGTGATCTTAGCCATTGAAGGCGAGGAAAATTTTCATCAATTTGTAGTTTATTTAGCTCTAGTTTCTCGCAGAATTTTTCTTCATTTGTAGGGATTGATTAGTTCTCAGTTCAAATTTCAGATCAAATGAACGAAAAATATGTTCAAACAGATCAGATAATAGCACGATATCTGTTCCAACAGTTCAGTTTCTGAAGCTGAGCTGTTCGATTCTGTTTTGGAAGCGGCATTTTAGTAAGAGAAAAAAAAGGTTTTTTATACACTGAAGTGCCTTACTCAAAACTGTTCGAACAGATAAGTTCATATCGAGGAACGTTTTTAACATCTCCGAACTTCTCGACCTCTATTCATTTTTAATGAACGAATACTATTTTAAAGTATTAGCAACGTGAAACTCAACATTTAGTCATACAAAATTCAGACTTTAGCCTATCGAAGTCTTGTAATTCGGTCGCCTATGTACACGAAGTCTGAATATCTAACAAAAATTTACAATATACCGTAGAAAAGAAATAGAATCCAGAAGAAAGTTAGACTAAATTGAATCTATTTTCGTTTGATTAATCGATCCATAAGTAGATGTTTGAGTAGATCATATTGATGATGGGTGATAATCATATAAAAAGGATGACTTTGTCGAAGTGTATATAAATATGAATTAAGTTGAGACGTATTTTTCATAGATTGATTGAATATGAGTATCTATACATAATGTGAAATGAAAAATTTTTTTCATATAATGAAGTGTCATGTAAAATAAAAATGTTGCAGTTAAACATCGGTGCCATTTCACTCGACTAACTTTATGGCGATTTGTCTTACAATGAATTTCCTATTGACTATGTAAAATACAGATAACATCATATGATCATTACTATTCAATAAGAATGTGAACCTAGTCGTCATTATAGGTATTGAATAGAAAATGTATCAAATTGATTTTATCAGCTTGAAAGACTTATTTATTCGAGAAATCTTGGTGTAATAGAACGTTAAGTTAAGAAAATGAAATTAAAGCTAGAAAGGAAAAACAAAGCAATGATTCACTGATTTCAAACACACTTAAAAATACGGCAGAAGTCACACCTTTCTTCTTTTGTAGGAGGAAGATCGTAGATAAATATTTGATTGAGAGTGGAGACTAGATCTTATGAATTATTGTTTTCGTCTGGCACAGTTAGAGTGTATAATATACAAAGTATTACAAAAGATCATCGGAAATGTCAATGTATAAATATCTCTAATACAAATTCAATGGATTTAATAATTGTTTTCATAATACGGTAGTATATTCTTTCAAGTTTTATTCAACATATCTTTCAATAAATATCTGGATCTATACACATTAAAATAAGATCATCTTTATTAATGACCAAATTCAGATTATTTCTGATAATTAAACAAAAAATATTAGTTGAATTAGGCAAAGAAAGATCTAGATGTAGACTTTAATAAAAAAAAAATGCACACTGATCGAGTAAAAATTGATATCCATAGAAATCAATCATATTTTGTAAAACTTTCGAAAATTACAAACGAAAAACTCAACGAAGATTTAGAAGTTTGACAAAATAAATAACAATGACATGTTCAATTTGTTGTAACAACTTGCTGATTTTCATTATCAATTGTATATTGAATTAAAATTCGATATATTTCAATAAAACCATACTAACTTCAATTTGATTAATAATGTCATAACAATAACTAATTGACAAGTTCGAGTAAAATATGTAAAACTTTTCTACCAACATTGGAGATTTGTTTTTTTTTTGGATGAATTAAATTTTAATTTTAATCGATTTATACATAAACATAAAATGAAAACCAATCTCGATATAATACATTTTTTTTTTGATGTTTTGAAAATGATGGATTTATGTGTTTTAGTTAGTTTTGATTAACCCTTAAAAGCCGAATATCCCTTCCAAGGGACATTGCAAAAATCTCAATAAAGCATGCAATAATAGTGTGTATACAAAACTCTTCTCTTCAACTAGTATGATCTTATAGATTATAAAAAAAGAAAAAAATTAATTCAGAGTAACTATCAGACGAAATAATGACTTTTTAAGGATTTTGATATTTTTAATCTCGGTTTTCCGTTTAGAAACATCTTTTCATTGATAAGTGTTACAGGAAAATTTGATTTTTTAATTGATTTCGCGAGGTAGATCGTCAGACTATCGGATGATGCAATCTCATAATGTTTTCATCGATGTTTTGGTGTATTATGATATGATGAAGGAAATGTTCTTTGGGAGAAACATTCGGTCATAACGGTCCAAAATCTTTGATCATCCTATAAAAATGTCGAAACTTTAAAAATACTGAATGTACAAGCTTTTGGACTGACTGGCACTTGACTAGTGATTGTATCGAGTAGGATGAAGATTGAGAGAATCTACGTGGATCGCCGAGCAAGTAGGAACCTATGAGAACAAAGAATATTTGCCACATCGATGGAGAGGGACAGTCAGGTGACTGGAGTGTGCTACCTTCTTTTTTCTTCACCCAGTTAAGTAAAATAGGTCAACTTCATTTTATCAGCTAGAGTTAAGTAGGTCAACTCTACTCTAGTGGTTGCAGGGAGGTATAAAATATTCAATTTTTCATCCAAGTATGGAGGGTGTGAGGGTGAGCAAAGTCATAACCATAATTAGTTATTTCTATCTAATTATGTTTCATCACTCCAATAAACTTTTTATTGTTGCTTGGCCACTCTTTTCTCGGTGCTAAATGTATAGTTTTCATAGAAGAAGCAAATAATTATCAAACTATACTGCATGAGGTTCCAGTTGTTTTCTGATAGTAATAAGACTTTAATATCAAGCTCCTAATGAAAGATAACCTAGATAATTGCATTCTATTAGAAAATATAGGTCAAGCGCTAGTTCGTCTCAGTTTATTGGTTGTTTTTTTATACTTTTCTTTTGAAGTTCAGAGGTGCCCTTTTCACCCTCCCCATTACCCTCAGATGCATGGTCTTGTATCTCTAGCAGTGTTCTAGGCTGCTTTCTGATGTGTCGGACAGATATAGAAAAAGACAAGTTTTTTTTTGAGTGGATGAAGACCGTTTCTTTGCGAAAAGAGAATGACGATAAAAGTACGACAGTGTTATCGTGGTACAGATAAGATGACTGTCCTTCTGTTATTAATGTGATGGAGTTAGGCAAACATAAAGGAGAATTACAGAATAGCTCGCTCGATTTCGCTCTCAAATTTCTTGTCGAACGTCGGATGAATATCAACAAGTCGTCTATGCAACTTTTGATCGAAGGTAATAGACGATCTCAATGGTCGACTCATTATTGGGTCAAGAATATCTGCATTGCTTTTATAATCTTAACGATGTCGGCAATTCCACTGTGGGTCTTTTTGGAACTCATTATTCTTGCTCCGAATACGCCAGACAGCACAAATAATGGACAGTCAAGTGAGTTTCACAGTCATACATGCTTCTTGATTCTGTGAATCGAATAACCTCGATTGAAGATAATGAAAATCTATAGTTACATGCCTAAAAAACTGTTTAGGATGGTCCAAGACTAGCAGCATGAATAGTGCTCGAATTCAGCACACCGCATCTTTGTTGAATAATGGTAAAATATTGGTGACTGGAGGTTGCAACGGTTCCGTTCTTAATAGTGCTGAGTTGTACGATCCGACCATAGGAATCTGGACAGTGACTGATAGTATGAAGGATAGACGAAGTTTCCATACAGCGTCCGTTTTGCCGAATGGGAAAGTGTTAGTAGCTGGCGGAATTTATGTCAAAAGTATTTTAAATAGTACCGAATCGTGTGTTTTATTACCAAAATCTTCGACAACTATCGATAAAATGAAGAACGTACGAACCAATCGCAAAGAGCCAGTGTACACTGGCAGGAATGAAGGTCAAGTTGTGCTGAAGAGCGCGGAATTGTACGATCCATCGACAGATACTTGGACTACTACTGGTAGCATGACCACTGCACGAGTATGGCATACAGCATCCGTGTTGAGAAATGGAAAAGTATTGGTGATCGGCGGCGCTGATAATTTAGCTGTTCTTCAGAGTGCTGAGCTTTATGATCCTTCGACAGGAATCTGGACAAACACTGATAGCTTGCAGGATACACTAATGTATCACACCGCATCTGTATTAACAAATGGAAAAGTACTAGTTGCCGGAGGATTGGGTTCTGGTTATCCCGAAGTTGCTAACTTATATGATCCATCAACCGGACATTGGATACGTGCTGGTGTCATGAATGATCCCCGTATATGGCATACTGCATCTGTGTTGATGAATGGAGAAGTGTTAGTTGCCGGAGGATATGAGGATCCTATCCTACATAGTGCTGAGATGTATAATCAATCAACAGGCCTTTGGACATCGACAGGTATTATGAAGGATGCACGAGACTGGCACACAGCATCGATGCTATTAAATGGAAAAATCTTAGTGACAGGTGGATATAGTGGCCATAATATGACAAGTCTGAATAGTTCCGAGTTGTATGATCCATCAACAGAACACTGGACTACTACTGATCGTATGAACCATGGACGATTGTATCACACAGCATCTGTCTTAACCGATGGTAATGTGCTGGTGACTGGTGGACTTCTTAATAAAATCTTTCTCAATAGTGCTGAGCTTTATGATCCAGCAGTAGAAACGTCAGCAACTATCGATAAAATGAATAAGGCACAGAGCCATGACTAATCCAAAAGTGTAATCGATCTTGAGAATAAAAACATTTCTGTTGAAATAAATGAAAAACGAGAGAAGTATTTTGATAAACACCTAAAAAATCAATCTTATTTATAAATCTTTATCAGATCAAATCACATCATTGAACAAATCAACTAAAGAGGAAATCATTTTGACAAAACAATTTCTTATCAAGTTAAACGACGATAAGCACATTAAATAGGACACTTTTCGAGCGAATATGAACAAATAAGAATTGAATTCTTAGTTTAATTCTCATAAATACCTCTTAACGTTCTTCTTACTAATTCGAATACTCTTCGATCATTTCGAAATTGGCAAAAAAAAAATTATGAAAAACATGGACAATCAAAAATGACCAGATTTTCTTTGCTTTAACTATTCTATAAGTAATTCTTCGTTTTTATTTCTTCTCATATTTCTGAACAACTTCAACACATTCAGATCATTTATCTCATTAACTACAAATCCAACTGATCAATCGAAAAATCACTCTTTTTTTCGTTCTTCTTTTTACACTTAGACAGACAAGAATTATATCAATTAATCATAATCATCTGTTTCTTAACTACTATTCTCACAAATCTTCTTCTTCAAAGTTCTTTTCAAGATCTTATCTGATAACATTTCCGATATTTTCTCGACTGATTATCGAGATTAATCGATTGATTTTTCATTCGAATCAGTAAATCAAGAAAATAAATGTCAATATTTGATGATAAGATCGAAGAGACGTTTATTAGATTGTTTACCGTTGAATAGTCACAATTGAAAAGTTGATTTATTTCAACGTGTCATTTCCTATTCTTTCTCTACTCGTTAGAGGAATAAAATCTCTTAACTAAATTTAAATAAATTTGACACTAACAGAGAATAAGATCAATGACAATGGGATACATTAGATTACCTCGATCTTTCTAATTTTATTTATTGTACGATTCATTTTCATGTCTTTTTTGTCAAATCTCAGCAAGATCAATATTCTCAAGTTAGTCTCTTTTATGCTTTCCGTTCTTTTTAACGATAACTATCATTTATCAAAACTGTATTTTTGACAAGGGTGTGGATGTGAGTGTGAGTATTCTGATGGAGATGCTAATATTGTCATCCACATCAACACTCACACCCACAGCCACACACACTCAAAATTTTGTTATCCCCGTTACGGAATACCAGTAAACAAAGTCATGGACCATTATTAACTTTTCACAGCGATTCTGATGTACTGTTTCTTTTCTAAAAAAAATGACATCTGGCGGTACATTAACGTGACGCGGTCACGAAAGCTGATTTTTGGTACCATTCTCAGTATATGTAATGGAACAATAATTCAGATATTATAAGCGCTCCATAGAGGCTAGATCAAATTGAAACCTGATTTTGACGTTTGGTTTAATTGTCTAACGACAAATATGCCTGATATTCCTAATTTTCGTTTATTTTCCTGTCTTTCTGACTATGATCAACTTTAGCCATAGCAATTCGTACCTATTCGGAATCAGCGTGAGATTTTGCATCGAATAACGTATTGTTCAGAGTTTTTAAGCAAGTGATAGATGCTGAAAACAGCAAAATACGTGATGTAAACTATAATCTTTCGTTTGTCTCTTTCCTGTCACCATTTTATTAGGGTGTGATTGTATGGAATGTGGGTGTGAGTTTGGATGTGGGCACACACAAAGGAAGACTTACACTCACACCCATACCCACCTTCAAGAATTTTCCCAAGTTCTAAAGGATGTGAGTGTGATAGAAGGAAGTGCATCTACTCGGCGATACTCTTTCAGTGAACATATCTCGTAGTATATTGTTTCTTCAAGTTTTATTTCTTAAGCACTATAAAAAAAATTTCTACCAACAGTCATGCTTCTGTTTTTGACAAAACCATTAATCTTTGCTCTTTCGTTGCCTATTTTTTCCAATCCTTTTCTGGATAAGCTGCCAAATTGTATCTTCAGCTTTCAGTGTGAGCTTGAGTTCAGTCAATGTCTATCAGAAAAAGTGAAGATGAATGTAAGAGAGATTAAAAAGAATGAAAATCACTCTGTTGTTTTGTAATACGTCGGCAAGATACTGTGCTCCTTCGTCACTGATCCGATTACTTCGGAGGTCGAGTGTCTCCAATGTCTGCCGAAAATAGCGAAAATAAATATCAGAGGAATGAAACGACAATGAAAACTACGATGTTCTTTCGCAATGCATCAGCAAAATATTGTGCTCCTAATATCTCGATTCGATTTTCTTCAAGTTCAAGTGTGGTCAATGTCTGTGTGAAACAATAAATATGAATATGTTGTGAAAGATATTAAGAGAGAACGAGGGTCACCTTGTTGTTTTCTAATGCAATAGCGAGATGTTGTGCTCCCGATACTCTAATTTGATTATTAAATAGATTGAGTGTAGTTAATATCTATCAGAAAAATAAAAATAGATACGAAAATGTTGAAGTATTGGATTACCTTGTTGTTATGTAATGCGGCAGATATATATTGTGTTCCAAGGTCTTCGATTTGATTGTCTCCAATTCTGAGAGTGGTTAGTGTCTGTGTGAAAAAGAAGCGACAAATACGAGAGATACTCAGAGACAATGGAAAGTCACCTCATTGTTTCGTAATAAATTAGCGAGATTTTGTGCTCCTAATGCTTCAATATCATTGCATGAAAGATCGAGTGTGGTTAATTTCTATAAGAATAAAAAATAGATATAAGAAAGCTGAAAAGTGAATGAAAATCACCGTGCTCATGTTGTTTTGTAATGCATCAGCTAAACACTATGCTCCTGATGCTCCAATTTGATTGGATTTAAGGTTGAGAGCAGTCAAAGTCTGTTAGAAAAAGTCAAGCTAGATATGAGAGACATGAGAAGAGCATAAAGAGTTACCGTGTTGTTTTGCAATAGATCAGCAATATGTTGTGCTCCTAATATTCCCATCTGATTATCAGAAAGAATGAGCGTGGTTAATGTCTAGCAGAAAAAGTGAAGATGAACATGAGAGAGATGAAAAAAGATTCAGGATTACCGTATTATTTCGCAGTGCATCAGCAAGATGTTGGGTGCCTGTTGCTCCGATACGATTGCCTCTGAGATGAAGTGTGGTTACTATCTGATAGAAAACATTGAAATGGATATGAGAGAGATGAAGCGAATGAAGATCACCTTGTGATTTCGTAATGCATTGGCTAAATATTGTGCTCCTAAAGGTCCGATTTGATTGAAATTGAGGTACACAGTAGTAAATATCTATGTGAAAAATAAAGAATATGAAAAACGATGCCGCCAATTTTTTTACTAATATAGGTACCTACTTACTTTTAGCAAATAGAATTAAAAAGAAAAAAAATTTCATAGACAACCACTAACAATATTGATTCAATCGCCTTTTTATTCTTTATAAATAAATAAATAAATAAATTTAGCTTCGCTACGATTATTTATTATCTTTACCCTCAGAAAATTTAATAATAGAAAACACACTTCTATAATATGTTGCTACTGCACGTGTAGAAAAAGAAAACAAAATAAAATATGACTCATATATATTTATGATTATAATAAATGGGTAGATACGACACACATACATATAGATAAGAAAAAAGTTCCTGACGAAGAAGAACTGAAAAAAAACTTGCAAAATATAGTATAGACTTTCTCTCTTAATTCATGAATTGTTCACCCTCTCACGTGCATTTCACAGCGCACGTGACGAGGTACATTGCTTCTGTATCGTTTCTTCTTTTTCGTTCTGTATTTTTCAACCTCTCTTGTAAAGAGAAAAAAACTTTCATTCATTCTTCTTCAGTTGTGCAAGACTCGTGAAAGGGATTTTTTTTTCTTGACATTTTCTCACAACTCTGCAACGCACAGTGTTGCACACTGGTGAAACATTTTCTGCATCACCCTCAATGTCGATACATCACAACTCAACGCTTCAAGCATTACCCGCAGAAGTTCTACATCGTATTTTCGATCACCTCGATACACAGACAATATTCTTCTCACTTCGCAACACGTGTCGACGATTGGTAGCAGTTACCAACAGTTATGATCGATGTGTTCTCGATTTTCAATCCGTTGCAAAATACGATTTTCATCTTCTTGGTCGATTAATTGATCCTCGAAATGTTATTTCGTTGACACTCTCTAAAGACGATGATCCACTTGATCGAGTCGAATTGTTCCTTTCATTGTTCAGCCTTCAACAATTCAGTCGACTTCGATCATTGACTTTACTCAAAATTGAAGAACAACATTTAGAAGCAATTTTGAAAAATGTCAACACTACTTCGCTCATTTCATTTTCAGTGGCTAGTATGACATATAATGATCGACCCACCAATAAAACTATAGAACTTATCTCGTCGATAATCGGACAAGAGAACCTTCTTAAATTCGAATTACTAGATGCTAGAGGGAGTGGGCTAGAAAATATGCTTTGGCCAGATCAGTCAATGATTCAACAACTGAGAATTGACATTTCTATCACTTTCGATCAGATTTGTAAAATACTTTGCGGCTTACCTCATCTACGCACACTCATTATAGATTTTTTGTCCAGGTCAATGTCTAGCGAGACTACACTGCAACGGCTTTCCTCACCATTTCGGCAAATCATCTCATTAACCGTGGAAAACATGAGCTTAGAAATTGACGAAGTCGAACTGTTTCTTTCACTGATGCCTTCATTAACTCACCTGAAACTAATTAGTTGTCAGGTGTTTCTAGACGGTAATCTATGGGAACAATTTATTGAAACAAATCTACCTTTGTTGATCAGCTTCGAATTTGTCTTTACAATATGGCGACATATTCCATATACTCTTTCTGATGTCGAATCGCTAATCGCATCATATCGAACACCATTCTGGCTTGAGCAGAAAAAGTGGTTTGTTACCTGTGAATATGGTATCAACAATCCAACGCGGATCGACCTCTATTCATTTCCAATTTGCAAGTCTTCTTTGACCTATACATTGGAATCAAACAAAGTGTTTCTCTCTACTTTCTCCAACGTGGTTGGTAATGATGCATCCAGAATGGATAATGTGACCAGAGTTCTAGTGACTGTCTCAGAATTGATGCTTGCGGGCATTGAGCAACAGATGCAAACAAATGTGAGTGTGATGTTTCTTTCTATCTACAAAGATCCCTTAATCATATCAGACTAGACAAGGCTTCCAATGCGTGGTGAAGTCAGAAATTTGACGCTGGACAAAGATTTCGCTCTCAGCTTTGTAAAACTTTCTGAATTGAGAAATCTTTTTTGCAAAAGGGTTCTATTAAAAATGGCGAAGAAAAATGGTCAAAACTTAATATCGTTTTCCGGCATCGAAAGTTCGTTAGCACATGGCAGACAACCAAATTCTAATGATAATCTGTTTGAAAACGCTTCAATGCCAGTGCCTTTAAAAGCCTAACCCAAATTAATATTCGAGCAACGATACGTCATAGAGGCTGTTACAGAGTAAGATTTGATAAATTGCATTGTGCTGTATTTGGTGTCTTTTCTTTATTGACCGATGAAACGGCTATTTTTTGTAAATCTTGAGGTAAATGATGTCACAGGTCAAATTGAAATGATTGTCTCTAGTCACATTCTAGAGGTTCGATGTGTCTTTTTCTCTGTCTAGAATGAAAGAACAAACTATCCTTTACTTCGAAAAGTGGAAGAACTTCAAATTCAGTTCAATGATAATATATCAGACTGGATTCTGTTTGTTTCGACACTGATCGATCTAACCACAATCATTCAAATTAAGTTCACAGGTCGATCGACTTATAGAGCAAGACGTAATATGCGAGCCAACATCGCCAGTCTCCTCCAAAGAACATGCTGCCTTGCTTCTCTCACTATAGATTACGATTCTTGTATTTACAACAGCTGGACTGCTGATAATATTTGTTCTATGGTTCCTTCTCATATCAAACATTTGACAGTATCAATTAAGAATCCGGATGAAATCAAACTTGTTCTTCAACGACTTCCACATTTATCAAGTGCTCGATTTCGCTTCGGTCGCGCATCATCCTGGAGAAAATTCACTGAATGGTTTGAAGAGAACAAGGCAGGTTCAAGATACAAAGGTGACGCCTATTCGATGAGTATATGGCTTGAAAAGAATACCGTTCAATCCACAGAACGCAAGCGTGGTAATAAAAGGATCAAATTGACTGATAATCATTATAATGCATGAATTATATGAAAATCTCAAAATAGATTGACAATTGTTTTTGAATAAAACTTTGAGCATTTCGCTTGTACAACGTAGTGCTGAGAACCCTATGAAACTTCGCATGAGACACATGTTAGGAAAGATTTACAACAAAATTCGAATGGGACAAACATGAACAGTGCGATGGATCGAGTTGAGTTGTAAACACGTGTGTTTTTGTCAACATCTTTTGTGGTTTACCGGATACTGCCCAGAGACTTTCAAAATCAAAACAATTTCATGACTTTAATTATTCCAAAAAAAATCAAAATCGTTCCATTAATTTCATTATTTTTGCATCATTTTAATTCCATGACTTTGATGACTCCGAAAAATCAAAACTATTACATTGCTTTTTGTTACTTTTACATCATTTTCACTTCATGACTTCGATTAGATGTTTGAAGAAAAAGAGCAACACTAAGAAAAAGAAGAAGATTGGCAGCTAATTTTCGATTGAGAGAAAAGAATACCAAACGATTCTCTTTGAATTAAAAAACTCGTAAAAAAAACTTGTCTTTTTTTGGGAACGTGCAAGTTTTCCAGTACAATAATCTGTGAAGAAGATCTCATGAGTATATGTTGCAGTATCGATAATTATATTAATAATCTACGCTGAATATACAACAATAAGCAATAGTACTACTATAAAAAGTAAAAGTTAAGAGTACAATCACAAGAATATCATGAGACTCATGAATAGAAGATATCAATGAAATCCAAGCAAGTTTTTTGATTAAGTTTATAATAATTGCTTATTAGGCAAAAATAATAATTTGCGTTCTGATTGAATAAAGTAGTTTACGCTTTATAACTAATTCACAATAATTCAGAATTATAATCGATCAAAATGTTCGCTAAAAAACGAATTTTAAATACAATCATATCATTGATATTAACCATACTTTTTTTTCTCTCAACAAGATCGTCGTCTTATGTATAAGTACATGTGATTTCGACCGAGACGTAACATGTTATTTTATTCGATATGGTCGCTTGATTAACAATGTTAGAGATGATAGGATAAAAGAAAGAAGAGTAACACGTTTCTAGCATTTTCAAAGACAAGTTTTATTGATATTAATTCGACCGAAAGAAGAAAGAAAAGATATAAAGTTTTTCAGTTAATACAAACTCTACTTGACAATAGACTCTGGCAGTACATTTTTTCACACTTGATTTAAACTTGAAATATTCGTTCGAAAATTAAATGTTTTATATAACTATGATCCAATTTTTTCGGGTAAGACTATTCTCCACATTAACAAGTATTTTTCACATTCATATTTTTTTCCTGAGTGTTATTTTTGATTTATAATTCGAGTATCATGAACATCTTCAGCAACAAAATATTTATTTCTGTTTTTCGATTAACTGTATACATAATATATTAATACACTTATTCGAATATATTCATGTGAAATAGAACGATAAATATAGAAAGCAATAAATCTTTTACAAAGAGATAGAGACAATGAAAAGCCTGTCATTTTTTGACTGTGAACTATTTTTGATTAACTTTAATGATCTATCAGTAATCGAAAGTCAGACAAAAATGCTGTGCAGGAATTTTCCTTCTCATGTAAAAATAATTTTGAGCAATTTCTCGAGTTTTTTTGTATTTATTTTTATAATAAATCTTATATTATTAATCTGCTATATATTTTGACAAAAAAAGTCAGTGTTTATTCGTTTCATTTTAATATTTTTTTTTTGTAATATGACTCGAATTATATCATATCAAAAGAAAAAATAATCGAAATATTTTTACATTTATTTATTTTTCGAACGCTAATATACACAAGCACAATGCACGTGAATTTAATACGCGATATACAATGCTCTCTTTCATATTTTTGGAGATTATATGTATTTTTTATGCAATAGCAATATCGTGTGTGTAGCTCATCCCAACCCAATTATCATCATTATCCCTATCAATTCAAGGTTACAGATATTCTATCCAATCATAAAGAAAGAACATGACTAATAGAATTTCTTTTTCTCTGATCTTCTTGAAAACATCTACTTCTATTGAGTTCGTTGCGCTTGGATTTTTCCATCTTGTATTAAAGGAACTGATTATTTTTAGTACAACGAACGAAAGAAAAAAAAAAAGAGCTTTATCAATTCTGCATTAGAAAATTCCAATGAACAAAATAAACTATAAAATAGTTGTACCTGCAACGTAGTATTTATTATTAACTTTAGCAAATTCTATCATTGAATCATCTATTTCGAAATAATTTTTCTTTTCTTATAAGAAAACGGTAAATATTAGAGTTATATATGATAGTTGAGACTGATACTAATGAATATTAACAAACAATACTAAAAGTGAGACAGTCAGTAACTCATCAATAATATTGTGATAACAATTATCTTTTAGTTATCAATAATCTATATAGATAGAAATGATTTCATTTGCACAAAATATATTGATAATAGAATTTTAAATTGTTTAAAGAAATGCTATCTAAATAAAACGATCGATTTAATGTTGATATAATAAATATATGTATACAAATGTAATACTACACATCAATTATTCATTAGATAATCTATTTAATTATAAGAAATTATTAAAAAACAATACTATGTGATTTATTATTGAAATCAAATATTGATGTATTTATTACATTCATATTTTTTTAAAATAATATTAATTCATGATTTTACATTCGATGATATGAAAGACATTTTTATAGAAAAATTTCAATAACTCGTCTGCTTTCGATTTAGATTTTGATCAATCAAAATGGCAACATCAAATGTTACTGAAATGAAATCTGATCATGTTATTGCTTGGTTAGATAAAAATATGGGTGTCAGTCAAAATAATCGATCTAGTAAAAAAGATCTTGCCAGTAGTGCTAATGTAGATTGTATACTGTCGAACGAACGTTTGCATGATATCAACTATTTAATTCATAGTGATGATCCATATATAAATGATGAACAATGGAATGATTTGATTATAAATGTATTACAAATGTTTACAGATGAAGAAAAATGTATAAAGTTTATTGATGATAATCTCATGGCAAATAAACAACCGTTTTTAATTGTATCTGGACAAATAGGTGTCAGTTTTTTACCTAAGATATATCAAAAATTATCTGGTTATATTTATGTCTTCTGTGGTCAAAGACATTCACATGAATGGACCGGTGAATATTTAAATCATATTGAAATATATGATGATGAAACAGGTTGCTTTGCAAAAGTATTAATAGATATTGGCATATATTACTTAAAAAAAGGTCAAGAAGAAACATCAAATCTAACAAGTTCAATTAAGTATCTTGAATGGGCTCGATGATTATTTATGCGTGCTGCTCAACTTGATGGTAACAAAAGAAAAGATTATATTGATATAATAGATGAAACATTGACTGTACTGAAAGCATCACAATCAAATAATAACAACGATGATCAAATGGAACAAATAGCGCAAGATGCTAATGAAGGTTAAATAACTTGACGAACTACTTTTTTTTTCATTTTTCATGACGTGTACTATAAATAATATTAACAACTCTTCTATAAAATAATGTTTCGCCTTAATTTTATGAATCTTCTTAAATCCTAGAGTGCAAACGCTTCCTAGTTCGCACTTTTACTTATTAAGAAAGCAATAGTTTCTTTCTTAGACTGGTGGGTTGTGGATATGGATAGGCGCGTGTAGAACCTACATCCTTTTTGCACTTACCCGTAATCAATGTCTGACAGTCCTTGAATCTATCTTCGTGGCTTTCTTTTTTAGAATTTTGGACATATCATGTGATCTTATGTTTGACAATATTTTAACAACTTTTGATTATATTTTCTTCGACGTGATACGTGATTGATCAATTTTTGATGTATCAAATAAATCTTTATTTTGTTTCTATCTGACAGGTTAATAGCGCATGGATTTTAATTCACATTCAATATAATTTAACGTAGATTTATTTGACGTTTTAGAACTTAATAGATATAGTTTGATAAACAAAATTTCATAACATTATAGTAGAAAAAGTAACATGTTCAAAACTCTGAGAAAAACATGATGAAAAAAGTGATTCTCGATATTGATTGATATTTTACATCTTAATAATTGTTATATAAGATTGGATTATCTGAATCAACAAATAAGAACAAAGAAACCCGAGAAGAAAGATCGCCTACAGCTATACTTATCTACTATGTATTAGTTCGATAATAGGAAGAAACCAAGTGTGAACAATTCCTTTTAGTAGAAGCTAGAAGTACATTTGAACTTTCGATATAGATATTCCATATATCGTGTGTTCTAATTCCATTCGAGATTATCTTGTCAAAAGTAGAATTGATTTTGTGTTCGATAAGCTCAAAAAAAAACGAAATTTTTCTTCTAAAGTTCGAATAATTTCTGAAATCTCGAATTTTTCTTTTTGTACTAATAAAATTTTTCCCGTATGATTCAGTTCAATAAGTTCTTTCGTTAGATGAACTTCTTCAACACGTTTATCTTCATTCCGATGAAACTTTTGTTATTTCATTTAAATAGCTTTTCTTTAATTTTTTGTTGTTTTTTTTTTTGTGAAGAATACACCTTGTTTATTTGAGAAAGGGAAAAAATGCAATTTCAAATCAAGAAAAAAAGAAAGAGAAATATAGTTAACTAAATATAGTCATAAATGAGTGTGTTTAAAAAGAGAAAAGAAATGATGATAAAAAATTTTTGAATAACATAAATATGACCAATATAGACAACAAAATTATAGCTAGGTCAAAAAAAAAGAAGGAGAGAGAGAAAGATAGAAAATATATTTGACACAATCAGAAGGCCACATTTAAAAAAATTAATCTAAATAATTGAAAATGAAAAACTACAATAATACTAGATGGCATCGTGAGATTAAAAATGAACAAAGAAAAAAAGAAAAGCAAATGCAAAAGCAACAAAAAGAAAAATTAATTTTAAAGATAGATTTTTTTTTCATGTTCGAAAAATATGTTCTATTCTACGGTAATTAGAAGAAAATTCACTGTTATCTAATGATGACACCTTTTATTTTTTTGAAGGCTTAAAGACGACTACTTTTTTTAAAATGTTTCACAACTATTTTGATCACACTGTTCTGAAAGAAACCGATTATCTATATATTTATATTTGTATATATATATATATGCTTCTCTAATGTCTACAGATAATCAAATATGTGTAAAAACAAAGAAAAAGACAAGGCACAGGAATCAAATTTTAATAGCGTGGTCGTGATGAACGTACACGCGTACTCGGTGATTGAGAACCGAGTTGACACGGTGATGATGATGATGCGGCTACAGCAGCTGCAGCTCGCATTGAACGTAAAGCAATGGATGGTGATATTGTACGTCGAGTTGGTGAACGATAACGTACAGGGGGTTCATGCAAATCAGTTAATCGTCTTGTTTCATGATCCAAAAGAACAGGATCAAGACAACATGGATCATGAGAAACAATTGATATTGAATCAGTTATTTCACGACGAAGAGCATTTGTATCGTCACAACTTGTTATTGAACGATGAAGTAATGATTTACGTCCACGAATTTCTTGATGTAATTGTTCTTTAAGTGCTGTTATCTATTTATTTAATTTAAAATTGAATAAAAAAAAACAAAGAAAATGAAAACAAAATTACCTGTTCTTCAAGACCTTTAACACGAGCACGATGTGCTTTTTCTCGTGCTTCTAAAGCACGTTCAGCGGCTGTTTGTGATGATCGAATACGTTCTGTTTCAAGTTCGGTTTCACGTCGATTACGTGTATTAAAATCAATTAAACTAAAAAAAAAACGTATTTATAAAACGAATCATTTTCTATTCTGAGCTTCTCATATATGAATTCCCGCTCTTCATCAATAAGACTTTCGCTAATTACTAGCCAAAGTGTAGGGAAGGTACTGCCAAAAGTTCTATTGATGAACTTCGAGGTATAAGTTTGAGTATATAACTAATCAACTTACCGTTGTGCATGTTGATGTTCTGATTCATTAAGAATAGCTTGTAAATTTTCAACTTGTCTTTGTAAAGTTAGATTTTCTTCTTCAACTCGACGAAATTGTCGATCAATTTCAGCACGATCCCATGAACGTACAATATCTTCGGTAATAAGACGATCACGTTCAACCTTTATTATTTTAGTTTGAAAAAAAAAAAAAAAGAAATAATATTTTGTTTGAATAATTAACAAACCTTATCTAATGTTTTCTTTAAAACACATTTATCTTTTTCTAAACGTAATTTTGATCGTTCAACATCACGTTTTTCAATATCAAGATTGCCTAATTGTCGTTGTAAGTAACTAATTTTTTCTTGTAAAGCTTGTTTATCAGCAGTTAAAATAGAAATTTTTTGAATTGCTTCTTGTTCACTTTCTTGACGTTGAACGAGAAGCTGAAATAAAAAAAAACAAAAAAAAAACATCAATTAAATATAATTTTCATTTTTCTTCTATTTTAAATTTACAGTATTTGCATTACGTAATTGATTTTCTAATTCATGTCGTCTCATCTCGGAATCAGTAACTTCATTTTGTAGATGATGTACACGTTCAAGTAATTCATGATTTTGTTTTTTAAGTTCAGTTATTTGTGAACTAAATAAAAATAAAATTTTGTTTTTTTCGTTTAAATATATATGTAATTCATTTTTACCGTGCTTGTTCAAGTTTTTCTTGTGCAACACGTCGTTCAGATTCACTACTTTGTACAGCATTTTGTATACCACCAAGTTTTTGTTGTAAATCAGCTGTTTGATAATTTGATTGTGATAATGTTTGATTAAGTGATTGTACACGTGTTTTTAAATTTGATTCACCTTCTTCAGCTTTAGCTAATGTTAATGAAAGACGATCAACACTTAATTGTAATGATTGACATTTATCTTCACGTTCCTGTTGTTGTTTTTTTTGTAAATTGAAAGAAAAATTTTATTTAAATAAACAAAACAAAAAGAGGAAGAATTTCATTTTACTTGAATTTGTCTAATTAATGTTTCACATCGTTCTTGATGAACTTGAATTTCTGTGTCTTTATCAGTTAATGTCATATTTAAACGTTGAATTTCACCTTCTAATGCTCGTCTATTCATTTCAAGTTCAGTTGCACGAGCTTCACTTTCATCTAATGCTCGTTTTAATGAACGTTTATCATCAGATAAACGTGATTCACTTGATTTGGCTAAACCAATTTTTTCCTAGAAACAAAAGAACAATTTCAAATAATTTTTCCACAAAAAAAAACACAAAATCATACAAGAGTTTGTTTCTTTTCATTTTCCATAGCTAATAATTGTCGTTCAAGTCCACTTATTTGATCTAACATTGTTTTACGTTCACGTTCATTACGTCGTATTGTTTCTTCTTGTAATACGAGAGCACTTTGGGCACCTTGTAAACGAGTATCAACACCTTTCTTATCTAAGAAACGAACAACGAAATGTATATATATATCGATTCAATGAACATAACGTATCATACCTTCTTCAGTTGATAAAAGTGTTTTTTGTAATTGACTAAATCGTTGTTCAGTTCTTTGAAGATTTTCTTCAATTTCTTTGACTGTTCGTCGAAGTTGTGTAACTTCAACTTTAAAAAAATAAAAAAATAATTTAATTTATATGTCTCTTTTTTTTTTATTTCTTCTTGTCTATTTAAATATCTTACCAACACAATCATCTCGTTCACGTTCTGTTGTTATAAAATTTTGAACAAATTCTCTTAATGCTGTACGAATTTGTTCTGGATCAATATCAGCAACATCAACAAATGTTGAACCTGGTGATTGTTCATCATCTAAACCTGGTGAATATGAACGATGATGTGGACTTCGTGATGTTCGACGTAAAATAGGTGATGCACGATTTTCATGACTATCAAAACCTTTTGTTGGTGATATTGGTCGACGACGAATATTTGGACTTGGTGAACGACTTCGAAGTCGTGTACCACTACTACTACGTGGTCCATAACCAATTGTACGACGTAAACTTGATACAATACTACCTAATTTATATTCAGCATCACGTTTAGCTCCTTCGACACTTAAAAAAGAAAAGACAACAAAAAATGTTTCTTTGTTGTTTTTTTTTTTGTTAAAAGCAATTAGTTTGAAAATTTTTATTACCGTGCTAATTGTGCATCAAGTGCACTTGCTCGTCCTTCAGCACCTGATAATGCAATACGTAATTCAGAAATCATTTGATTAGCACCATCAAGTGCTAATTCAACATTTCGTCGTTCATCAATTGCTTTACGTTCTATAAATAAATAATAGAATACTTTTAATCTCTCTCTCTCTCATTTCTTTTTTTTATTTATTTATTGATTTTTTTTACCAAGACGTCGAGATTCTTCAACAGCTAATTTATAATCACGTTCTTTCATTCGTTGTTCATCTTCTAATTCAACATAATGTCGTTGTATATTAGCTAATTCTTTACGTAAAACTTCTCGTGATGCTTCAGCTTCAACAAAACGTTGTTTTTGTCCAAATACTTCACGACGCATTTCATCTTCACGTTGTTCATCTTGTCTTACACGATCAGCTAAATCTTCTAATTCTTTAGATTTCTTTTTTGTTTCACCATCAAGTAATTTAACATGACGACGTAATTCTTGTAATTCACGTCGAGCTTCTAATCGTGAACGTTCAACCTCACGTAAATTATGACGTAAATCAGTGATATCTTTTTGACATTGACATTTTTGTTCTTCAAGAACTAGAAAAAATTCATATAATAGCATACGTAGTAATAGTTATTGTTCTGGTGAATGACAAAATTTTGCTGATGATGTTTTCTAAACTAGTTTTCAGTTATAGTGTAAGAGACTAGGTAATAATCAAAATAATGAATACCAAATTTTCATTGTCTATCCTAAGTTTCGAAATGCTATTGAACTACAGAGCAGTAAAGTCGAGTTAGACTCCGTTATGAGTTTTAAAAGACTTGGTACAGCATGAAAGATTATGTTAATATGATGGATTGAATTTTTATCAATGATAGAAAGATGAATATGACTCATCGGTATGTGCAACCAGGGTAGAGCCCACCGAATTGATCCCGGATTCGAAGACTTTAAACTCGAGGAACTCTAGTGTTTTATCAAATCAATGAAAAAATTCCACATTTCGATAATGTTTGAAACATTTTGAATAAGTAGATTTTGTAGAGAAAATAATGGCGCAGTTTTTGAGAAAGTTTCACGAATTTTTTTTTTTTGTTGCAGGGAAAGTGGTTGCAGTAGCCAGAGCTCATTGTATTGCTGTCATTTCTACGACATTCTGAGCCATATATGTCTCAGTAGAAAAAGAGAATTTATCAAGTGTCTATATGCATTCTGTAGAACGAAAAAAAGCGCATCGAACTATAGTATTCTACATCAAAAATATTTATAGATTGAAGAAGTTCGTTCGTCCAATTTCTTAAATATGCATTTAGCTTGGATACACAAGTCGATTAGCCATATTAGCGTCCTATTATTGATAAGAACTAAATCCATAGCATCACTATATGCAGAACTACATAAACTTTCATACTGTAAATATTTTAAAAGACTTATACTTAATTGAGCAATTATGAAATTCAGCAATAAAAAGAAAATAAAATGAGCAGTAATGAAATTTAGCAATAATTATATAGAATGAGCAATAATCTATTTAGATTAAAGGTCAATTTTATATAAAAAGGGTATTATAGTGTGACTCGCTTATACATCTTTTTTTTTCTCTTTCTTCTCTTCTACGATGTCGTGAAGATGACAAGTACGACACATATGTCTTTTCTTTCCTTCACTTGGATATTTCTCTTCTCTTAATGTTGTTCAGGTATACTTCCTTATTCGTCATACGTTCTTTCTGGGTATTCGATTTTTTTCCTAGCTCATTTATATATGTAATTGCTATTTCTCCAATAAAGTAGTAGTCCAGTATTGATGTGTTAGATCAATCACCCGTAAACCAAGAGCAATATGAATTCATTTATATGTACAAATACGTATTTTTTTAGTTTTCTTTTTTCTTTAATTCATATAAAATAATGTAGTTTTTCTTTGTTTTATTGTTAAAATATGAAATTGCTACTGCTACTTAATGAATTAATTATTATACATTTAATAACATAAATTACTCAAATAAATGCAAGCTATTTTAAAAAGCTTCTAGGAATCAGAAAACTTCGATCTGTAAATATAAGAAAAGCTTTTCTCACTAATCCTAATAGTGCGTGATCACGAAATGACATAAATTTGCAGAGGATATATTTCATTCATATGCGGTAATAGTTAATTATCGATAAACGAATCATATTCTTTATATATATATTTAACAAAAACTCTAAAAGAAATGGTTTTTTTTCTATTATTTACCAACAATTCGTTGTTTAGCTTCTTCTAAATATTGTTTTAAATCAATTTTTTCATTTTCAACACTCTTTAATTTTGTACGTAAATCATCACTTGAACGTAATGATAAATCTTTATCACGTTGTTCATCTTGTAAATAACGTTTTAAATCTTGTATTTCTTTTCGTTGTAAATTAATATTTTCATCAAATTCTCTAATACGTCGATTTGATTCAATTAAATCACGTTTTAATTGATCACGATTATCTTCATTTAATTTTAATTGTGTTTTTAATTCAGAATTTTCATGATTTTGTAATTGATTTTTTTGTCTTAATTGTTCAAGATCATTATGTAATGATTTAATATCACGATCATTAGATATAGTTGAATCTTCAAATTTAATATGAAATTTTTTTAATTCATCTTGTAATGATATTATCATTTGACGATCTTGTTCACGTTGTAATGCAGCATCACGACGACATTTATCATATTCAACTTGTAAACGTAATAAATCATCTTTTGTTAATGAGATTTTTTCTGCTAAAGCATTACGCTCAGATTGTGCAATAGAAAGAAACTAGAGAGAAGAAAAAAAAAATAAGCTGGAGATCATTTGGTAATCTCAAGTTTTATTTAGATAAAAGCTACAGCTAAGTTCAATATAAAATTTTTTGTTACAAAAGAAGTATCTGCTCGACAAAACAATCGACTTCAATATTTTGTTTTTATGGCAATTTCGAAAAGGTACTTATAGAGTTTAGCAAAAGCCTATTGGTTCTCAAAGATACTTTGTTTAAAACTTCGGAAACTTTTTTATGGAAGCTAATCAAATTGAATTCTCTATATGCAGATTAAAATTCGCAATCCAAATCCTTTTGAAGATTCCCTCGTTAGTTGTTTTTAGTAATCGAAACAATTAGATTACGAATTCTCTTGTTTGATGATTTCTGTTATTTCGATTACGGTTATGTAGAATGCTACCAAAAGTAATTTTATTGGCATGATATTTAGAGAAGATCGATTTGATACAGAGTTCTATTCACTCATTCAGAGTCCTCATATTCAATTACTTTTAAAATACCTGATTTCCCTGCCCAATCTCTGGAAAATATATGATGGGGATACAACAACGTAAAAAGTACTCTGCTCGGTCAATAATCCAAGATTAATCAATAGGAGGGTAGAGCTGAGTTTTCAACCTAGTACATTTGTCAATCATTACATCTATAAAGAATGCGAGAAAAACTTTTTTCTTATGTTCTACATGCGAAAACATAAGACAATATGGTTTTGTTATAACTCATGTCGCAATTTTGTTTGTCAGTAAACATTGGTACAGCAACACTCATAGAACAGCCTATCGTCTACGTATCGAATTGCAACTAGCTTGTAGTCAGTATATCCAGGACTGTGCCAAGGTAAAGATTGGAGTGTGACTCTTCCCCCCGAGACACCCTTGAGTATACTGATGATGTTTTCCCATCACCGATATTACGGTCACGAATGAAACACTGTTTAAATAATCTTACATACATATAACAATGCTCTGACGCTATTTATAAAAGTCAATTTCTTGCTCTTTTTCGTTCGAATAAGCATTTAGCTGAAATAAACGATATTTTTTAATACAAAAAAAAAGTTGTGTAAATGACAAAATGCCATTTCCTGAAATATCTGAGACAAGTCAGATTATACTGAATGGTTTGCCGATAGTTTTAGTCCTGTTTGCATTACATATGAATGTGGTACGACCGACTTTCCTTCGGTTGGCTCTTATTCTAATATCCTATTCTCTTTATATTAGCAAATAAAATTTAGGACATTGACAATATCTGTATCAAAAAGAAAATATTAATGTTGATTATTTCGAATCAATATTAGAAATTTTTTTGTTTTGTTTTCTTATGTTCTTACTTTTTGTTTTTCATTTTCAGCTTCGATTAATGCTTGATCACGTTCTGTAATAGCATTAGCTAATTCATAATGTAAATCTTCTTTTTCGCTTTCATGTCGTTGTGTTGTTTCATCTTTTTCTTTTGTAAATAATCGAATAGTTTCTTCACGTGCCGTTTCTAATTCATGACGAAGTTTTTCACGTTCACGTGTCATACGTTCAATATCATCTTCATGTGCTTGATGATGTTGTTGAATAAGTATATCTTTATCTTTTTCTAATTGTGCTAAACGTTGTTGTAATTGATCTCGTGTACGAGTTGATTTTTCAATTTCAGCATTTAATTCAACATGAAGTCGTTGTATTTCACCTTGAAGTTGTTCTCTACGTAAGAGTAATTCTTGATTTTCACCTTCTAGTTGTTGCTTTTTGACTTCAAGTTGACTGATAGTACTGTGAGCCTCATAGAGATTGGTCTCCAGAGCTTCTTTGCTAGAGAAACAAAAAAATGAGATTTTATTTAGAAAAAAAAAAAAAAAGAAATGACTCCGACATACTCAGCACGCAATACGCTAATTGTCTAGAAAGGAAAAGAGAAAAAGATTTTTTTTTTCTTCTTTTATTGAATAGAATAATTTTTGAGTATTTACTGAATTTAATGTTTGATTGTCTCGCTCAGTGCCAGTAAGATCGACAACCAGATTACCACGTTCTTTAGTTAATTCTTCTTTTTCTTTATTTAAACGTAAGTTATGTTCGCTAAGTCGTTCAACATCTTTTTTCGCAGCAATTAAATCTTCAGCTAAAGTATTTTTTAATCGAGTCAGCTAAGTAAAAAGAAATATATATATATATATATATAAATTTACTTTTATTTTTTTCTTTTTTCGTAAAAGTTTAATTTTTTACCTGTTGAAATTGTTCGATAATTTCAGCTTTATCTTTATGAACGATACTCAATTCTTGTTCAATTTGTTGACGACTAACTTCAGTTAATTGAAGACGATGAAGAAGTGCTAAAAGAAATATGTATTAGAAATATTAGTCGATACTTTCTTTTTAAGGATTAATAAACTATAATTGACGATTTATCAGTAGATTTCATTGACTATCTTATTGAGTAGTAATAGAAAAACAATAAATGTGTTACATGAGAAAGTTGATCCAGGCTAACTTTTTCCGTTCTTGATCAAATTTAACGCTATCTGGTACTTAAGGGTTTTAGACTACGCTCTTTCTTTTGTCTAGCGGACACTTTTGTCCGAGATACTCTGGAATAGATTTTCTAGAAAATCTTGGTGTTTGGATCAATGCTCGCGAAAGTTTTTTTGTTTTAACAGTCTATAATGATAGAGCAACCAATTCTCTACAAAATGAGATGTCTTCGAGCTATCTACGATGTTTTTAGTCGAGTTAACATCAATTTTAGTGAAAGGCAAAAGCTATTTTTTCGTTTAGAGAGCTCGAAGACATCTCTTTTTGTAGAGAATTGGTTGCTCTATCATGATAGGTTGTTAAAACAAAAGAAGTTTTTGCGACTATTGATTCAGAAAGCAAAATTTTCTAGAAAACTTACTTCGGAGCATCTTGGACAAAAGAAAGAGCGTAGTCTGAAACCCTTAAGTATCAGATAGTGTTAAAATCAGCTGTACTCTTATCGAGTGAGATTTTTCATTATTACGAAAAATATTCAAAAAAAACCGACCAATGATTAGTTCTCTTATTTTTGCAATAAAAACCAAGGAAGACGAAGAAGAATATCCTTACGTTGAGATATGGTGTGTTGCCTAGTAGCAGATTCAATAGCTCGATATCTTTCCTACAAATAATCTTAGTTATAGCTCCAGATAGAAGACCAGTCTGACAAAGATTTCTTATGCTGAGGCTTGAATACAGTACCTTGTAGATACGTGTTAGACTACATAGCCGCACACATTGGTCGTTGGAGCTCATATTTGGCTCAGAAAGAGGTCTCGATGAAACTAGCAAAACTCTACAATGGTTTATCTCCATGAATCGTTAGAGCTGAGTTAGGACTATTTTACTGAATTTTCGATCGAGTTTTAGATGCTTACCGAAAAATTAAATTACAGAGTTTCATTCTAGAACTTTGGCTATGGATACGTCTAATAACTCTTAGAATATCCTGAAAGTTTCAGCCGAAAAGAATATTCTTTTGTCAAAATATTGAATTTTCAAAAATAACCCTTTGCTTCATCGAGACCTGCTTATGAGTTCAATATGAGCTCAAACAACAGATATCAGTCATAGCGAAACTTTAAAATCTATCATGCAAAAATAAATATCACGGTTTGTAAAGCAAATTAAACCATTAAAAACTGTTTTTACATTTTGAATTATTTGTCAAATATAACTTCTAAAGGAATTCTGAATACATATTTGGAAAGAGCGAAAAACTTTGATTTTCACTAACTACTTTTGGCTGTAACAAACTGCTGAAAAAAATGAGCGGATATTTTGTGCCAAGACTTATGTTGTTTAGCATAAGTATCAATCGTATAGTTATATTTTTTAACGAGTCAATCAAGGTAAAAAAAGAATATTTTTCTCAATTCATCTGTAATTAAATATTATTTTTTTTTGTCGAAGAAAAATTTAAATTTTCCTATCATATTCAAATTATTAGAAAATATTATTTCGAATAAAAACATTGTCTTCTATTAGAATTTCCACTTACTATCTCGTTCATTCTCAACATCAATTTTTTCTTGTTCAACTTTGACAAGTTCCTAAAAAACATAAATTTCATTTTCGAATAATTTAATTAACAAGAAAAAAAAGAAATACCTGACGAAGTGTTGATTTATCTAATTCAGCATCAGATTTTTCATGATGAATAGAATTCTTTTCTTGTTCAACCTATGTAGAATTTTTTTTTTAATATGAAATCCATTTAATTGCATCTTTTTACATACCAAAAGAATTATTTTATTTAATTCAATTTTATCTTGAGCAAGTCCTTCATTAAGTGCTTGAACTTTACAAAGAAGATCTCTTAAAGCTGCACTTTCACTACGTTCTTTACTAAGATCAAGTTCAACTTCAGCTCGATAAGATTCTGAACGTGAAAGTGCATCAGCTAATGATTGAAAAAAACAAAATATTCATAGTAATCTCTTTTCATTATTCAAAATAATTAACTTACTTAGAACATGTTTTTCTTGTGTTAAAACATCTTTAGCTAATTTTTCTTTATGATATTGTTCACGTAATTCTGTAACATCATTTTTTAATTGTGATATTTTACTTTCAAGATTTTCAATAACTTTAATACAACGTTCATTTTCTTTAACTTGTCGAATTCTATCTTTTTGTAAATCTTCTTTTTCTTCGCCAACTATATCACGTTGACGTTGGAATTCTGTATTTGCTTGTTGTAAACGTTCATAATCAGCACGTAAAGAATCAATTTGAGAATTAAGTGTCTTTCAAAAATAAAAGAATTATTTTTAAAAGATCTTTCTATAAATAGGAACATGTTCGATAAAATTTCTCTTCGCCTTTGCACTTTCTTCTAGAAACATCCGAATGTGTACTGAACTATTGTTTTTCTTTAATAAATTGGTTCTTCGCAGACAATCATACTCGTTGATGTTAGTTTGGGACTATTAGATGTTGTACCAGAGGTCCAACCGGGTCACGTTTTGAAGGTCTGTGTGGCCTATCAACTTTTTCAAGCGAATAAAATAGTGATGATAGATTAGAAACTAGAGGTCCAAAGAGAGCACTAAGGCTACTATCCTACCCGAGCCTGATCTGCCTGTCATGGGCACAGGCCATGATTTTCAGACCAGTGCCAATTACAAGTCCAAAAAGGTGGCTGGCCTGTCTAGGCCTGCCACTTACGCTGGTCTGACAATCGTGGCCTGTGCCTATGACAGGCAGATCAGGCTCGGATAGGATAGTAGCCTTAGTGCCCTCTTCGGATCTTTGGTTTCTAGTCTGTCATCATTATTTTATTCCCTTGAAAAAGTTGACACGCCGCACAGGCCTACAAAACATGGCCTGATTGGACCTCTGCATTGTATCAAGATGTTAGTGAATATGACTTTTTTAAGGAAGTTAATAGAAGATTCCGGGTCTTTTAATGTGTCGAGGCCTTTAGTTTATATGTTATGATGAGACGTTAGTAATATACGGTCTGTCATGACCCGTAGAGATAAAATTTTCTTCAATTCAATTGATAGACATGTTCTATCTGTTGGTATAAAAGTTTTTGTTACGAATGTCAAGTAGGATGGAAAATCCGCTAATAAAATTTTAAGAGAAAATGTTTCCAAGGATGAAACTACTTTTGAGTTGGGACTGTATGCGTCATGTAGATTATGTATACCTTGAAAAAAGTTCGGATTATTAGCTTATTGCTACCGAGATATTGCATTTTTACGATGATTTTTAAAACAATACCCTCTGAAATACCGGGAAAACTAAATTTTGAATTTCGACTTGAAGAGCTTTGCATAGAGAAAGGTCTTAATGAGAACATTTACTTATGAAAGTTTTAGATCATTTTGTTCTTTCTACTATAAGGTACGACTATGGTAAAAATACGGTTTTTTTAACTCCGCTCATAGACACCTGCGGTTCTTGTTTCCGCGGTATTGTGCTAAAAGAATACCGTAAAAATGTAGTATCTCGGAAAGAATAAGTTAATAGTCCGAAATTTTTTTAGAGTATTCATAGCTTTTTTTAGGACCTACACATTGCACATATTCTTGATTCAAATGCGATTTGACACTTAGAAACGTTTCCTCATTAGCTGGAAAAACATCGAATGTCTGAGCTTATGAAAATAACCACGTCATCCTTGTTCAAGATTCGAATTCGTTCAAAGTATTCTTCTATTTAAGTTCTATCAAAATAGTTAGTACAAACATTTCTAAACTTAGTTATACGTTTTTCAAGAACACATAGTTTTACAGAGAAATTATGTATGGCAGCATAAGATATTTTCTAACCAAAAAATGCTTTATTTTCTTAAAAGTGACTTGTCTGACAACGAAAGTTACATGTTCATCTGCAATGTGAAAAATGAATATTGCGATGAGAGATCTAAATTTTTACCCCCTATACCTCAAATTCTTCTTATACATTGTGTTTTATAAATTTTAAAACTTACCATACGAGTTTTTTCCATATTTGTACGTTCATAATTTGATGTTTCAAGTGCTGATTTAGAACGATCACGTTCATGTGCTGTATCATCAAATTGTCTTCGTAATTCATCAATTTGTAATTTATAAGTTGTTGCTTGTTGTTCGAAATGACGTCGTTCAATATCACTTTGATTTAATTGATCTTTTAATTGTTGAATTATATCACGTGCACTAGATAATTTCGTTTGTAAATCATGAATCTTAGATAAATTTAGAAAAAAAAATAAGAATATTTCATAAGGACAAAAAAAAGAAAATTAAATTTACTTGAACTTGACGTTTATTTAATGCAGCATGAACAGCACTAAATGTACTATCAGCAAATGATGGTGAAACATTTCGTGAACGTGATAGAGATGTTTGAGTTTGACGTTGTGGTGAAACAGATCGAGGCGAACGAAGACTAAAAATAATTTTTTTTTTCTTTTGCATATCGTTTTATATGTTCATGAGAGTCTTAGATAAGGATCAAAATTTAAAACGTTAAGTTTCGTAATGTAAAAATACTTCGCAAGTTTCGAATAAAGAATTTTAAGCTATTGAATTTCAATGACGGACGGTGGAAAATAAATCAAAAGGCTAAGTATTCAATAAGAATTATATTAAAGTTGTCTTTCGAAATGTTGAATATGAAAGTCAATAGCTGTTGAACAATGTCAACACCGCATATACATTAGTAAATAATGGTATGATGCGAAGAGAAATTTGTAGATTTCATAGGCAAATACAGATGACTAACAAATAGTTCTAATCTCAATGTTTTGAATTATTATGTATGAGACACTCTACTGCACGAATATTATACAATAGAATAAAGTTTAAAACTATAGTTCTTTAGTTGATGCAATAAGAAAAAGAATTTATTATATAGTGAAAATTATTTCGATCGCAACACGTCAAACATTGTCTATATTTAAAACAAAAGGTAAATGTATAAAATAACATTTTCTTTGTAAATTGTAGGGCTTTTTTTTCGTTGCATTTTATGACATGTCTGGTTTTTTTAAATAAAACCTACGTGAACTAGAAAAAGCAACCATTTAACTTATAGTCTACCCATTAGTTCAGACATGTCGTGCAAGAGAAGTATTCTCTACATAATCGTGTTGTTTGTCCTTATTCAAAGTCATCCAAAAGTACGTATTTCTTATCTTACGCTATCGCAATGATCGATCTTAGAAATATTTTTCAAGCCTATCAGAAGTGGCATTGACTTATTTTTTTTATTCTTTTTCGACACACATATTTGGAAGAAAGGGGTGTGATTTCTTTCGATACTCCGCCTTAAAAAATGTATTGCTACATGATTTTTCTATAACTAAAATTTTGTTTATTTGAAGGCAAAGTTATTTCTTCATCGAAAAAACATAAACATTAAATGTCCGTAAAGACCATAAATCACTCGAAATGTTATTTTTTTTCATTAGTTGTCGATGCATATTTTAAAAAAATTTTTATTTATACACTTATCTTATAATAATCCATAACAAAAAAAAAAAAAGAACAGAAAAAAGCTCTTATATTTTGAATTGAAAATCAAACAAAATTAATCTTGTCTGACTTAAAATTAACATAAATGATTTCTAAAACATAAATATTTCAGTATTTTTTTTTACTGGTTTTAAGCACTCGTTTATTATTGCTCTTTTTTTCTTCTCTCGATAATGACAAAATAAATATTAAATTTTATCGATAGAAAATACATCTGAACGAAGCAATAACTAAGCATAAAACCGAGTTACTAGTGTCTGAGGATCATAAAAGTTTTTAACAAAAAAAAAGTTGACTTTTTATTTATTCTTTCATAAAATCGATCACTATTTCAAGGTTAATTCGAGTTGTTATTATATTTTTTTTTTGTAAAGGTAGAAAGCCTTGAAGAAAAGCTATTTTATAACATGACACTTCTTTTTTTGAAACCTTTCCTTTTCTTGTCTTTTTTAAATAAACTAATAGAAACCATTGATTTCATATTCAATGTGCTTTTGTTGATGGTAAGAAAAATAAATGTTCTTATTAATAAACTTGACTAATAAAGTTATGTTTTTTATCTTAAATTTGTATTTACTATGTTAAACGTATTTATCAATATAAATATAATATTTAAATTAAACATAACATACCGACCAAAAGCACGATCAGGTGAATCAAATCGTTCGGCACCTCGTAATGGTGATAGACGACGAGGTGATATTCGTCCTGCATCATCAATATTATATGGATCATCTTCATCATTAAGTATAGCCTGAGCCACATCTCGCAATCGTCGATGAATCCGTTCTCTATCACCACTGATATCCCGTGTATGTGTTTCCATAGTTGAAGAAGAGATTTCCTATAATCATGAGATTGAAATAGCTTGAAGCACATTTTTTTTTCTTATTATAGATTTATAAACATCAATAAATGAACTTGATACAAATGTTTAGGGTCATTTTGAAAAGAAAGAAGAAATATGTATATGAATGGTCAACAAAAAAAGAAAAGAGAATAAATGATAGAGCAAGTATTGTTCTAGTAATTTTCCTTTAAACACTTCATAAGAAATTTCCGTTGCTGATCATATACGGAAGAAGAATAAAAAATGAGTTTTAATTATAACAATTATATTTATTTCTTCATACCTGTGCTCGTCGATACATTACGATAATGGTCAGACAAGAACCGCAAACCAAATCAACACTGTTGATGAATGAATGAAAACGAAATGCGAGAAGAAGAACAAGAAGAAGAAGAAAAGAGAAGCGTTGATGCTGAAGGTGGTAGTACTTATGCACACCGCAAGACGACGATGAAGAGAATTTTTTTCTCTTTTTCTCTCGATAAAATATTTTCAACAAAAAAAAAAAAAAAGAAAGAATGCCAAACAGCATCAGCATCCTGTTTCATTGCTGACTTCTTCCTTTGCTCCTAACTACCTGTTGGGGCTTCATTCAAATCAAATAAGCAAGATCTACCAAAAACAGAAATTTGAGAAAATTTTGTAAACAACTTCTGACGAGCCTGTTTGCTTTTTAATATCGATGCACAGTTGTTAAACACTATTGTCTTCGTCTCATATTCAATCTTAACTAATGTTCAAGGTCGTACAGTAGACAGGCGGCGATGATAGTATTTTTCTTCAATTACAACTGTCTGCCAATATTATCATCAATTTTCAGTATAGGAATACTAATGATCAATATTTTTATTTCTATTCATTAGTGTTGTTCTCGTTTTTCGAATTTGATTGTCTATTGTTGTTATCAAAGAAAGAAAAAAAAACGTTAGAATTATATTTAAAAATTTGTCCTCGAATCATGTAGGTTACTCAATTCTTGAGAATCGAATACTCAATGATAGACGTAAGACAAACAAAAACTTCTAGTGATTAAATTGTAAATTATGTTTTATGGACTCACCTTTCCAACCGTCACACTACGATGCAGAATCTCGACAACAGTGTACCGCAAATAACAAGTGATCAGCAACAACTAATAGCACTACTGATGGTTGTTGTTTGATCTTTCTCTCCAGCTACTATCGGCAACACCACCACCACCACTGTAGAGTAAACAGTTGTGGCCTCAACTGTGTAATTTATTAATGGGCTTCTTTTATCAAAATACATTTTCTTCTTTGTCAATTTCACTTTTTTTTCTTTCGATTCGGTGCCTTTTTTCGTTTAAATTTATTGATGTATATAGTTTGATGAGAATACTACAATGTCAATAAACAGGGAATGCAAGAAAGAAAACGAAGTATGTGATTGTAGAAACAGTCAATTGCACTTTTTAGCTATAAATGTTGTTTTTGATATGTGATAAATAACGAACAAAGGAAGGTAATACTCGAAACCACTATACAATACAACGACATTAGCTTAATCATTACAAGTGTCTGTTGAAATATGATGTGCGTCTTTCTTCTTTTTTTGTTGCAAGAATCAAAGCTGGTGTGTGTGTGTGTGTGTGTGTGTATGCGTATCGTAGACTTTTCTCAATATTAATTTCAAAAAAAATCGAGACGCCTATCACTTTATTGTGAAACCAAATATAGAATTTGTTTTTCACATGTCTGGTCAAGATTAATATTAGTTAAATAGATTCTTTTCTTTTTCTCATATTAGAATTCTATTTTTAAATGAAATCATATACAAGGTCAAATAATAGAATCAAATTTATTTTAATTACACATTATAACAAGAAAATGTATTAGTAAATTTTTAGAAGAATAAAGAATATTTTAAGGTTTCATTTTAAAATTATAAAACTTCAAAAGCTTCTTGACCATATATAATGATGAAGTACAATAGGTTCTTTTTTTTCAATGACATTAGACTTACCGTTGTTGGATTGGCACGCGTAAGGCTTATGATAGTATTCTCTTTTTCAGTTAATTTAAAATGTAATTTTTCGTTGAGTTGTAATAATTCTTGAAATCTAGATTCAATAGAACTTAATGATTATGAAACAATAGAATAAATATATATATACCTATGTTGTAAATCAAATATATCTCGTGTTTTTTCACGAATTTGACTTTCTAAATTAGTTCGATCACTACGTTCACGTTCAATAGTAGCCTTTCAAAGTTATATATTTATATAAAAGAAATCAATTACTACTAGTTTATAATTTACTTGTCCTTGAATTTCAGTTGTTTTAGTTGCAGTTAAAAATCCAAAACAAGCACTCGTTAATGATCGACCTGTTTGTGAAAGATCATTTCTAACACGTGTTAAATCACGTTCAGTAATGCCTTTAAGTTCAGTAAATTGTTGACGAAATGAAACAATATCACGCCATAAATCATATATAAGATTATGTTCGTTATTATAATATTGATTAAACATCTATAGAAATAGTATCATATTGAAAATATAAATAAACAATTCAAAAAAGAAAAACGAACTCGTTCTTCTTCTTTCCAATTTCGTGTTTTTTTTGTTAAGTCTTCGCGCACTTGTTGAAGTTCATTGGTAAGACGACGTAAATCTCCCGACAATTGTTGATTAACTAAATGAGCTTGATCAAGTTGTTCTCTTAACATTATATTTACTTGACTTAGATTGGACAATCTTGAATAGATAAAAAAAAAAGAAACACATCATTTAATGCCAAGTGTTTAATATATAACGGTGTCACGAGATTGTCAGAATGTGGGCACGGACTCGATGACTTAGGAGACTAATTGAAAGACTTTTGCTGCGTGATTTTTTTTTGAGAATAGGTAAACAAAAAACAACAATAAAACGCTGAAGAAAAACAAAAATTTTTCAAGATTGAAGAGGATGGTGACCTACTCGACCTTTTCTCTATTCGGAACATTCTTGTTAATAAAACTGACTGATTAATAAAAATTTATCCATGGAACATCTTAGAATACAATAAAACATAAATATTTAAATTATTGACCATCAAAAAGATTTCTGTTTATTATAGTAGGAAACATGAAATATCAAATCTTTTTTGATTGATTCAAGTTTTATCGATATTAAATTATTAATGCTTAAAAAAGAGGGATGAAATCGATCTGAGTAAGTGGGATCGGTTGATCTGAAATCTGCACCAACACTGAAATAATGAGTTGTCATACTATTCCATCAATGAATAAGGATATTTGATATAGTCAAATTTTAACAAAGTTTCATTACATATTCTCTATGAGATACTAAGAACAAAAAAAAATTCATAAGATACATCAGTAATGACCGGTCCCATTTCTGGTTTATACAATGTTCAACCTACTTCTGTTTTTCTTCTTCGAGCGTAATAGCTGCAACATCTTGTTCGTCATTATTCTGATTAATACGAGATTCATAAATCAATGTAGATGTTGATGAAGATTGTACATTATTATTTGTCTATATTAAATATTTTTTGTCTAGAAGTTTTATTTTTTATATACTTACAGTAAGTCGAATACGATCGATATCAAGTTTTTGTTGTTCAGTTAATAGTTCAAGTTCTGAACATCGTTGTCTATATTGTAAAACCTTGTAACACGAAAAAAAAATACTTTGCTTTCTTTTTTCATGTCTGTCGACAAAAGAATAAACATTATTGATTTAAATACTTTTTGTTGTAGTTTTTGTACGAGTTGTGCTTGTTTTAGTTGTCCTTCTTGATAATTAGATAATTTTCGTTTATAATTTTGATGTTCTTCTTCAAGTTTTCGTCTTAAATCAATATTTTGTTGAACAAGTAGACTTCGTTCAGGTTCCAAACTACTAATATCTGATGATATATCAATACCTTGTGCACGTAATGATTGTTCAAGCTATAAACAAAAAAAAAAAAACAAGATCAAAGAAGAATCCATATGGAACCATTTGTAGATTTGCATATGTTCAATGTCAAATATAAAAGCAAAAAACAAAAATTATTTTTTCATGTTTGTGAATAATTGAAATGAAAAAGTATAGTCAAAATTTTGATTCTTTTGTACAAAGTCTTCAATAAATAGTCAGAACATAATCATTATACCAAAAAAAAAAAAAAAAAAAAAAACAAACAGCTTACTCGATCAGACAATGCATTATAACGTAGACTTAATTCATCTTTTTCAGCTCGTGTTAAATTTAATATAGTTTCAACTCGATTTAATTCATCATTTAAATAACGATTTTCTTCAGTAAGTTGACTTGGATTTGGTGTACTCATTATATTTTGACTTGATGTTTGACTTAAAACTGTATATGGAGAACGTGATCGTAATAATGGAGGTGTATGAATACGATTTGAAAATATATCACGTGTTGATTCACGAACTAAAGCATTTCGATTATCAGCATTATTATCATCATTATCCGAAAGTATTTCTTCGAAACGCTAAAAAGATAAAACAAGAATAAAATTTTAAAAAAAAAAGTCATATTTCAATTAGAATCCAATTTTGATGAGAAAAACTACAGATTAAAATGTATTTTATACGTACAATCGAGCAATCAAGAATATTGTTATCTACCATATTTCAGATAATATAAATAAGAATCAATAAAAACAAAAGAAAAAAGACGTGTTGTGTCTAACTCGAGTGATCGTTTTACACAACAAATAAATTAACTCGTGTATGTCTATGTAAATTGATACTATTTTCCTGTGCTTGGTTAATATGACAATATATAATAGTAACAAAAAAGCCTCAGCTACTGACAATGATTACAATATTATTAAAGAAGGAAAGAATAGAAACGAGACATAACGAAAAAAAAGAGTTTTTTTTTCACTTTTTTTTGTTTGTTTATAATCGTGTATTGGATCATAAAATGTTATGTTTCTTCGTCATCCTCTCAAAACTTTTTACGCATTCTTCCATATTATAAGAGGAATCTGAACAACTGTTTGATTGATTCAAGTAAATCTAAAGTTGTTGAGAAATGTATGACAGAATTTTTATTTTTATAGGAACAAATAAAAAGATGCTTCGCTATAGTAAGAACTATTGCGGTTTTATAGTTAGTGAAATTATTCATATGAAAAGAAAAACAATAGTATAAACATTTAGTAAAAATAATTATAAAATTTTAATTATTATTTTCATTCATCTGAGTACTTTTTCGTAATTGATATGATGAAATATTCATCTATTTATAATTTGTTCATAAAGTTAAATGTTAATTCTTTTCTTTTTTTGCATTTAAATGAGACTATAAAGAACA